TCTCTCTCTCTCTCTCTATATATATATATACACACACAGTCTTGTAGGCGCTGGAACTCTTGTGTCTTCAGGGGTATTGCTACTCTATGTTTCAGCATGGCTATCCTTATGGTCACTGGTTGTGTACATGAGAAAGATATGGAAAGTGCTGCTTCTGTAGTAAACATTGATGGATCACCAGTTGTGCTTTTGGTTTAATGTCAGTTATAGCTGATACTTGGGTCATCGTCATCCTTTGTGGCTATATGGAGATGGATACTTTATACTCTTAAGACAAGGACGGAAGGAAAAGTGCATTTTTTGCTTGCTGGCCGAAAACCGTCCAATTAGCAATGTATCAAGAAATCCCAAGTCTTACCATTCACCGGCAGTCGTTATGGTAGACGGTTAGTATATAGATTCCTTATAGTACCATGAGAGTTTTTGCAGCTTGGTGGTCCAATTTGACTTGCTTTATTCACTAGCTGTACTAATTTATTTAATGTGTATACATGGTAAGATGATGGCTGATTATTTATTGATATTCTGAAAATATATGAAGCACACTATGCTGTGATTTGATTTACATGCTTTGATATTGAGACTGGAGCTTACAGTTTAATCTTACAATATTGTTCGGTTTTACAGTTAATATTTCGCGATTCTGTTTGTAAATCAGCTGACTAGGAGCAAGCTGGGTTGCCATTTTCATTATGCAGTTGTTCAACTTGACTAGATGAATAACACCCTGCATTGAGAATCAGCATACAGATTGTTAGCATACAGATTGTTGACTGCTTAAGGGTACCTGCAAATGCCATGTGATGGAGTGGGAAATGAAATTAGTGATTGAACTTTAACAATCCTGATTTGAATTTGACAGCATCTGTCACGTTTTTCTTTTTGTTTTAATGTCGTCGGCCCAATTTTAATGGAAGCATCATTGTGCTTTGAAACGCTACTCAAATGGCTCAAAACCGAACATAAACTGTGTAGAATCATTGCAGCGTCATGTACATTACAAGTAACCCAAAAAAGAAGAGATGAAAAGTGAAAGTTGCTATCGACATGCCTCTATAGCTTTTATGCACAACACAAGTCTTGATTGTTTGGAACACTTCTTCAAAGTTTTGAACAACGTGCTACTCCTTTTGGCCACTTATGAAATAAATCGGCTCAAGCCTGCAACCTGACCTGTTAGGATTTGCACCTCCTTAACACTCTTCGGTGATATCATCTCCACTACCGCTCGTATTTTCTTCGGGTTCACCTCCATTCCTTTCTTTGTCACCATGTATTTCAAGAACTTACTTGACTTAGCGCCAAATGAGCATAGTCGGGTTCAATTTCGTAACATACCTTAGCAATGTACATCAAGTTTCCCTTAAATATGCTATCATGATCAGCCAACAACATTGCTCTTGACCAACATATCATTGACATAATTCTCCATGTTCTTGTCCAACTGCTCACGGAAGATTTTGCTGACCCGTTGATACGTCGCACCTGTATTTTTTAGGTCGAACTGCATGACCACATAGTAGTACGTCCCTTTGCTTGTCACAACGTTGACCTGCTAGCAGTAGGTCCTTTTACTTGTCACAAAGATGACTCGTTTCTTGTCCTCCTTGGATAACGGGATATGATAATAACCCTACGAAGCATCCATTAAGCTCAACAACTTGCACTCAGTTGTTGAGTCGACCAGCTGATTGGCAATCGATAAAGATTTTTGGGGCACACCTTGTTGAGGTCTCTAAAGAATTTGCACGTCCTTCAATTTCCCTCCGACTTGGATGGCATCACAGTGTTAGACAACCACTTCTGAAATTGAATTTCGACTACATGACCCGCCCTCAACATCTTATTGACCTCCTATTCGATAATTTTATCCATCTCAACTTCATGATGTCATCTCTCTGCCACACTGGTCGAACTTTGACGTAAATATTCAACTGATGCGCTCGTAAGTTCCTCTAACGTGTAAGCAACTCACCAACTTAATAAGCTCCGTTCTTAAAGGATCCTCCAGTTTTGCTCCAATACCAATTTTTTGTCGTCCCTCCCCTCGATCATTTGGACCTCATTGATCTCATCTTCTGGTTGAATATCCATTTTTCTGCTTCCCCTTGTCTACCTTCGATCTATCCTCCTTCAACCTCGAACTACTTGGTCTATTAATTCCCTCTTCTTTAGGAGCGTCCTTTTCCTCGCGTTATGCATGTGCACCCCCTCCGAGGTCTGGTAACATGTCCTCGATGTCAATTGGCCCCATACGACCGCTCTAATCCGTTCGCCCACCAAATACTTAATCAACATGTGACACGTTGAAACCACCGCCCGAAAGGTGTTTAGGCTCATCCACTCCAAAATGATGTTGTACGCAGATTCAGTCCCTACGATCACAAACCTCACCATATTTACTTTTCTTGTTGGGCTTGACCCCAGAGCAATTAACAATGTGACCTCGCAATTTTAAAAATGATACATTTTTTTAGGAAAATTTACATATGTAGACTCCATGTTACATTTATCTACATATATACGAACTGGATAAACTAAAATCAAAAGAGGATTTCAATGTGATTTTTTTTTCACATTTACGTGATTGTTTTCTCTCACTTGGTGCTTAGTTTCTCTCCAATTAATAAACATGCAATCAATTCGGCGAAACATCC